ATGGATTAATCTGAAAAAATTTGTCTGTGATTCCACAATTTTGCACTCTTTGGTTCACAGATCCAATGAGAAGAATTAACCAGTAGAAGAGAAAAGAAGTAGTAACATTTATATTTATATGATACATTAGGTATAAATATATCCTACTTTTCCCCCTCTATTTTTTTAAGAAATTCAACAGTTAGAAGCTGTCCCCTAACCTTGTTTCTTTTTTTTTATTCTTTTGTGCCATGCACAGAACTCCATTTAAAACAATTTAACCCCTTAGTGACCAGACTGCTTTTCAATTTTCTTACCATTAAGGACCAGGGCTGTTTTTAATTTCCCTCTTACTTATTTACTGTACCCACACATATTATATACTGTTTTTCTTGCCATTAGATGTTCTATCTAAAGATACCATTATTTTCATAATATTATATAATTTACTATAAAATGTTTTATAAAATATGATGAAAAAATTTTAAAAAAGCACACTATAAAATGTTTTATAAAATATGATGAAAAAATGTTAAAAAAGCACACTTTTTCGAACCTTGACCCCCAAAATCTGTTACGCATCAACAATCGCCAAAAAACGCCAAAAAACACCAATGCTAAATAGTTTTTAAATTTTGTCCTGAGTTTAGAAATACCCAATGTTAACATGTTCTTTGCTTTTTTTGTAAACTTATAGGACAATAAGTACAAGTAGCACTTTGCTATTTCCAAACCTTTTTTTTTCAAAATTAATTGTAACACTGATATCTGTCAGGAATCCCTGAATAACCATTCACATGTATATAATTTTTAAAAGAACACAACCTAAGGTATTTTGACTCTTTTCATGCAACCATTTTACCACTAATCCATGCCAAATTAAAAAAAAATAATAATTGGTGATTTTCTTTTACACACGTAGCAATTTAAGAATACCTGTACTGAGAACTTAAGGGGGTTACTACCAAAGAACACCCCAATATGTTTTCAGCAACATCTCCTGAGTACAGTGATACCACCCATGTATAGGTGTGTTGGGGTCTCTGGGGTTTAAAAGACCTTATTTGGAGGGTGCGCAGTCCAGTTTTCCAAATTTTCACAGCTGGTCATCATGCACCCATGTCCTATTTGGGACATTTTTGCAGCTGGTCAATGTAATTTACCCCCATCAAACCATATTTTTTTAAAGTAGACAACCCACAGTATTCAAAATTGGTCACAAACCCTGGCCAAAATTAGCACTGATATTAGTTTTTTTTTCATTTTTTACACATAAACTGTCACTTTAGCGATTTATATTATCAGTATAATAAATTTTACTGCTCTAAAACACTCATATTTGTGTAGAGTAATGTCACACGAGTACAACAGTATCCCTCAAGTACAGATTGTATGGTGATTTGGAAAGTTACAGGGTCAAACATAAAATTTGCCGATTTCTGTTTTTGTAACTTGCTATTTGAGAACGTATAGCAGCCCAAAAATGAAAATAAATCCCACCATGACATATCATTTGAAAAAGTAGACAGCCCAGGGTATTCAAAATAGGGTATGTCCAGTGTTTTTTAGTAGCCACTTAGTCACAAACACTAGCCAAAGTTAGCATTTAAATTTGTTTGTGTGTGAAAAATGCAAAAAACGAATATGAACGCTAACTTTGGCCAGTGTTTTTGAAAGTTACAGGGTCAAATATAAGGCTTGCCCATTTCATTATTTTCATTGAAATTTGCCAAATTGGTTATGTTGCCTATGAGACCATATGGTAGCCCAGAAATAAGAATTACCCCCATGAGGGCATACCTTTTGCAAAAGTAGACAACCCAAGGTATTGCGAATAGGGTATGTCCAGTTTTTTCTAGTAGCCAATTAGTCACAAACACTGGCCAAAGTTAGAGTTCATATTCTTTTTTTGGATAATTCACACACAAACAAATATAAATGCTAACTTTGGCCAGTGTTTGTGACTAAGTGGCTACTACAAAAGACTGGACATACCCCATTTTAAATACCCTGGGTTGTCTACTTTTGTAAATGGTATATCATGGTAGCATTAGTTTAATTTCTGGGCTGCCATACCTTCTCAAAGGTAACATAGCCAATCTGGCAAATAGCAATTTACAAAACTAGAAATTGGCAATTCTTATGTTTGACCCTATAACTTTCCAAAACACAATAAAACCTATACTTGAGGGGTACTGTTGTACTCGTGAGACATTACTCTACATATAGAATGTAGATTGTGTGTGTGTGTGTGTGTGTGTATATATATATTTTTTATTGTGTGTTTTTTTTAATATATATATATATATATATATATATACATATAATGTGTGTGTACGTTTTTATTTCCTATATATGTATAATATAATAATGATGATAATAATAATAATAATATGTGTATTTATCTCAAAGTACACTTATAATGCAACATTATTATATATGTTAAATATATCATAAAATTATTTACTTTTTTATAATACATTATACATATATAATATATGTATAATATATTTATTTGATGATTTTGTTATTTTTTTTTTTTTTCATTTTACGTGCATGGGGGACTGCCTGATTGCTCAGGCAGTCCCCCTGCTGGCAGCTCCATAGACTTCCATTACGGCCATGTGATCATGGTGATCACATTGCCCTGGAGGGCCGGAGCTGCAGCAAGGGGACTGCTGGGATCTCGGGAAGTCCCCCTGGACCGGGATCGCCGCTGATCGCCAGTCCAGGTGAGTACCTGGGTCATTTTAGGTGATAAACTGCTGTTTTTTGTCGGATGAACCCTGCACGTTCGAAGTTGGGGAGGGGGTTTATCTCTTGTTGATTTTCTCTATATAAAATTAAGGTATTTGGGATTTTTGACAAATCACTGACTGTCCAAAATTCAGACAAATGCAATTTGTTTTAAACCGAATGCACAAGCTAATCATAAGCTCTTGATATCTGGTATCATGTGGCTAATTTGGTATGCATCCAAATACATTTAGAACATACTCTAATACGCTTTACTTGCAAGCAGTTATTTGATTTTTAAATCTAGCATTAAAATGTACGAAATATTGCAAATTAATCATTCAGACAATGAACGTATTACAGAACAGTGATTGCATAATATCATGCCGTACACAAATTCAAAGTTAAAACTGTAGTCTCTGTAACTGCTTCATGTGATTGAAGTGGCTATTGTGTCTGGAGTCCCTGATGCTGTCCTTCCATTCAGCATTACACTGTTTTTAATACCTTAATGCTAAATGAGAAACTCAACAGCCCTTCCCCTCTGTGCTACTTGGACTAATGAGGAAACACTAGCCTAAGCAGCAATGGGCTGCTGTAATTGTCTGAGAGTGTCAGCTGACTGCTGCCCACCTATCACAGCATCCATTGGTATGGCTAAAAGGAAGTCTGTAATCTGTTTTAACCATACAAGAAACATAGAATGTGACGGCAGATAAGAACCATTCGGCCCATCTAGTCTGCCTAATTTTCTAAATGCTTTCATAAGTCCATGGCCTTATCTATCCCACACATGCTTAAACTCCTTCACTCTGTTAACCTCTACCACCTTAGCTGGAAGCTATTCCATGCATCCACTACCCTCTCAGTAATGTAATACTCCCTGATATTTTTAAACATTTGCCCCTCTAATTTAAGACTATGTGCTCTGGCCCCAGTAGGAGCCAGGGCTGTGGGTGGCTAGGCAACTTATTTAGTGTTAACTATTCAAAAAGGGTTTAACACCAAATGGCGGACAGTGCCAGAGAACTCTCTAAGCACATCATTGAGATGAAATGGTTATAGTGCCTACAATGCCCATTTAATTTATTTTTTAATTATCCTTTAGTCATCATCATTTATAGTTAATACAAGACATGCATACATGCAACCAACATTTGTGGAAAAGTGTTACATGCAACGGCTCAGCATGCAAAATGAGATTAGGGCCTTTGGATTAATTGCGCAGCTTGCAATGAATATGAAAAAGGTCCAGCTAAAATATACATTAAGTTTGCATGAGCTGTTTAGCTTGGTTATTGGTAAGCATACTATTAGTTAATTATGCAAAATATTTCTACTAATTGTTCATCATTAGTTTGACTTTTGGGAAATTGAACGGATTTACCTAATTTATCTTTTAAAACTGGAAGCATTTTAGGGCACAATTTTTATGTTCTAGCAACTGCAAGTGACTATCTCAGACTTTTTACAATTTACAAAGTAAATAAAGTCCTGTGGGACAGTGTTTGCTGTGATAACGTACTGCAATTAATTCAACATCCATTTTCTAACGGGACTCATCCTAGGGGGAGTCCAAATTCATATTTCTCCTTTATATTAGTGAAAGAACCAAGACATTATGTCCCATTATCAAAAAGTTACAGTTGCCAGTCTATTAAAAGTATATTGCTTTTTTTTCCAAACAGATTAAAAAGAGTTAATCACATAAAGCAAACAGTAATAGCTTAAAGACTCACATAGATGGTGTAAAAGTGCACAAATCAACTTAATTCATATAGACTGGATTTTGTATGGCTGAATCCACTGTCAAAATTGTAAATAATCTGTGCAAAAAGTGAAACATAAGGTTAATGGCTCGTGGAAAGCTATCCTACAATGGGGAAAAACAACTTATAATTGAATGGAAAGTAAACCCACACTGCTAGTGATATCAAAGACCTAAAGGGACATGCTTTTAAAAAAGGTTTCACTATTTAGTAGATTAATCTCCATAAAAAACATATGCAATTATTTTGGCATATTTTCTCCTAGTTTACAGTAACTGCAGATCTACTACTGCAAGCCCTTTTCTTTCTGTATTCTCAATGAGAAACGATATAGACACCAAAATTAAAGCAAAAATACTTAAAATGTGGCTCCAGTGGGGGTCGAGCCAGTGCTCACTCGAGATGGTCTCATGCTAGAGAGCTCTGGGCTGACATTTTTCTGAGCCTTACATCACACTTGCCAGTTCTATTTGTAGCATACAACTAGCCGCTGACTATGGGGAGCAGCTCAAAAAGATGTTTCGAGATAATGGAGCTTTGCACCGTCAGCCACAACAACTCTTGCCTTCAAATATGGAGCCTGCTGGGGCCTACTCCATGGCTTTATCTGAGGTTGAGATTGTACAGGAGAAGGACTTCCTTACTGTCCTGCAAGTACCATTGCCTTCAGCATTGGAGGATAATGTTCCCTCAACCAAGACTGCTATAAAAGCCCTGCTACAGGACAAAGCAATGTTTCAGGCTGACATGGCTGTTGTGAGGGAGAAGGTTGAAACACTGACAGGCAGCATACCAGCACACACAATGGATGAAGATTGGGGAGGGCACTGGTACAGTCTGTTACAAATGCTGTGGTTAACACCCTACAGAAGAAATGTGGAGATTTAATGTGTTTGGGCCCCAACATCATTGTCTGTTAAAAAAAAAAAAAAGATGCAATTAAGGTATTGAGACTTTCCATGTCTTAAGTTTTCTCTGTATTATACAAAATTTCAGCTTGCATGTAATTTAAGTTAAACTAGCAGTTATGCACTTAGTGTTCTATTTTAGAACCTGTGAAATATATCATGTGCTTTGTTTTGCTTAATATGTAACCTGAATGTTGTATTTCATTGTGGCTGCTGTGTCTACTGTCAGCTGTAGATTGACACTTCAATTAAAGATCATAAGGTAATGCTGGTGAATTCTTGCCTTCTATGCTCCGAAAGACTGCTGAAATTGTACACGGTTTTTATCTTGATGACAAAAAAAGCAGTTTACTATTTCTCCCTCACAGCACTGGTCTCTGTGCCATCGTCCAACCTCCTTGGCCATGGTTATTGAGCTTGATCTCATCAAATCCAATGCTTTCCCATTGGAAAGCATTGGGCAGCTAGTGCTATTTTGGAGGAATAACCTCTATTGGTTGTCAGAGTGGTAGCCACTAAAGGTATTTAAACCCTGTAACAAAAACATTGGCATTTTACAGAATGGTAGCGTTTTCATTTATAGGGTAAAAAGTCAGGACATAGCACTCAGACCATGTCTGGGTGTCTTGTATCCCTTTAAAGATTACAAATATTTCTGATACAACACATTGATTCTTGCTCATTGTAGTTAAATGGAGAGTAGGAGGGGACTTTTGTCAGTACCTTCAAAGATAAATTGTATCTACAATGTTGGACTACATTACATTTTAACATGCACAAGGAAGCATACATTTAAATAATAATAATGTATTAATTTATTTTTGTTAAAGCAAAATACATGTTTTTAATACATTTCAAGTATCCATCTGAATATAACAGTATACATGCTGATATAGTAAATCATGTATGTAATATGGCAACTCCTGTAATAAACATGGATTGTTTCATCAGTCTGAGGCTATAAATAGTTACTTTATTGGCACATTGACTGTTTATTTTGCAGAACACACTGTTCATCCTTTTGGAGCACATATGTTTTCCCACTGGATGCCACTAGTTAAATGAAACGCCAGCTTCTCATTCTTGCTTCAGTGATTTTGTCCCCCCTATATAATTGCCAAGAATATGGTTACAACATTATGTCTCTTGTGACAGACAGACTCGATACACTAAACATCTTCTAGTTAATCATTGCAATTTTGAATGCTCTCTTTAATTAGCTATTTTGTGTTCCCATAATTTACTGGGATGACCTATACACAGAGTAACTTTGTCAAGCAGCTAGGAACCAAATGGCAAAATCTGAATATAGGATTGTTGTTTTTTTGCATGTATTATGGGGAGTAATTTTGGATAGTGTTGGCATTAAATGCAGGTTGTGTATTTGTGTGCTTTTTGTGTTTGAATGAAGGGGCATATTCACAAATATACACATACACTTCCCACGTAGATTGACGGAGATGTACACTCACAGATACACACACAATAACATACATTAAAATAAAGAAAATGCATATTTGAGCCACTGTCCTGTTTTCATATCTTTAAATCAATAAAGAAAGAAAGAAAGAGTTGCAGCTTTTGTTGCACGTATGAACTCATGTTAATCTCCCATAGAATATATATGTTTCTTTGTTTCTCTCCAGTAATCAGTCTTCAGTTTATTGGCCTTACATGGATGTTTGCAACCTACTTTTCTCCCCTCCTTATCAATACCATTATGCATTGGAATTCTAAGTGCAGGTACTGTCTTTTTGTTCATGTCCTTTTCTATTATTACCTGATCAACTGTATGTTCAGCACACAAGGTTCAAAGTCTATCTGCGGGGCATTTCAAGATAATTAACTGTATCCGGTTGGAGAGGGGGTTTTATGGGTTAACTTGATGATGGAATGGAAAGTTGAATGATACTTACAGGAGAGAGGTGTGGGGGCATTTTATGGGTAGGGGTATGAGTTCACAAAGGCCAGATTAATTAAGGAATTAATTGAGTGAAGAGTGCTGGTAAGAGGGGCAGGGCACAATTGCCTACCGGACCACCAGCTTACATGTGTGGGCTGCAGTCTCTGAGTACCAGATTTTTGCTGATCAAAAGCAGTGGGACATGTTTTGGAATGTATTGAAGCAGTGACATAGCAGGTATAAATTTGCAATTAGTTTTATTAGCTCCGCACTGTATGGGCTTGTAGTTGGTCTGGTGGCACAAACTCTAAACCCCCGGAGGACTGCACTATCTGGGGTCAAGTAGGCTTCCAGATTATATTGGGTATGATGTAAAGAAGTTTGCCTGTGTGTGACGGACCGCCTGCCAACCCGACTGGAAGCCTCAATCGAACGATGCTCCTAGGGCTCGCCAAGGACCATCAGCACCGCACTCGGCACCATAACCACTGCAAACACCACAAATAGCCGCAGCTTGTTTGTGGTTTTGCCGTCCTCCACCTGTCAGGGATCCGCGGGCGGCTAGTAGGGGAGGCTGCACGCCACTTGCAGCACTCACCCTCAGTCCATCGCCGCCCGCGGTCTCCCCTCTGCTTACCTGTCGGCGAGGGGCGTCTCCTCTGTGCCGCTCGCCGCCAGCATCCTCCACGCCCCCCAGCGGCAGCATGTATAACGCTGCACGCTGGGAGGTCAATGAATTAAGTAAACGCCAGGGTCACGTGAGTGACCCGGCGTTAAAGAAACAGTACCACAATCACAGTGGGGGGTATAGATATCCCCCACGTGTGATTGTTAATTCTGATTGGAAGTTATCCAATCAGAATTAAACCAAGGGTATTTACACTCACCTTTCCTGTCTCTCAGTGCCCTGTTGTGGTCTTGTGATACCTGTAGCGTAGTGTTCTCGTCTTGCTCTCTGGTTACTGATTATTTGGCTCGTTATTCCGATTATCCTGTCTTCTCCACTCCTTTGACCTCGGCTTGTTTCTCGTTCTCCCGTTTTCTGGTTCCCTTTACTTGGCTTGTCTCCTGACTACTCTTAGCGTGCTTAGCCCAGCCACTCTAAGGTCCGGTACGGCACATTTTCTGTGTGTGTGTGTGTGTGTGTGTGTGCCAGCGTGTTGGGTTCCCCGAATCGTGACACCACCCACCCAAGACCAGGCTCCAGCTTCCAGTGGGTGAACCTCTCCTAAATCCAGAGAGCAGGAACCAGTAACAAGAACAGCTCTTACAAGAGCTAGTGATTATACTCTGGGGCGTATAGTGATTATAGCAATCCCCAGAGTGTAGTTCTCCAATACCCCAAACATGAGCCAAGACTTCATGAAGGGGTAAGCATGTCTGTTTAATGTAAGCCAGCATTCACAATTTATACAATTCCTCAGGCCAAAGGCACACCCCACTGGACCTGATGGTAAACAGTCACAACAAGGACACAAACCAATCAAAACAATACAGTAATGTCTGACGCTCCCACATACAGCATACAAGCCCTCCCCTCTGCCTGGGATATAACTAATGCAGCTAATACAAAAATCTAATTATTCACAGGCAGAAAAACACACATTTTCCTCAAAGTCCAGAAAACACCCCAAAACATAACATAACCCTTATTATATCATTGGATAGCTTTGATCTGGGTGAGCAACATATCCAAAAATCACCCAGATCAGAGCAGGGGTTCAAAAGTATTGTGGAAGTCTCTTCTGACCGACCGCACACATGATTTCATGCCCAAAACAGTTCGAGAGAATTTGGCTGTGCAGCCAGTCTATTTCCAATGTTAAATGCAGTTCAAATTGATTAACGGCAACCGTTCGTGCAAATGTCAATGTTAAGGTGCCATTCGAGTTGTCGAACGGTGTTCGACTCCAGTCGAAGAGTTGAAGTTCAGAGAAGGTAAAGTTTCAGCGGTGTTCGTGCCGTCGCGTGTCCGATTTGAGTTCCATGAACTCGATGACCAAACACCACTGAACGCGTTCGACTGAATTAAAATGGCCACTGACACGTGTTCGTATGTCGAATGGCGGCCACTTGGACTACTTCGGCTGTATCCAAAGTTCCACTTCAAAGGTGTAGAACTGCTCCAATATAATTTAAAGGGGCAGTAACAGTATTTTAAAATCCCATATGCCCAAATTAAGCTTTTAAAGGGCAATACATCCCAGGGGCTGTAGTCAAAGGTCAAGAGGCTGGCAAGCAGGCCTGTCCAAATCCCAGTGACAAAGGTGCTTTTGTGACTATGGGTTAAGATGAGACATTGTCACAATAGTGTAATGGGAAAAACGTTGATCACTCATGCATGAACAGATTTCTGTTAATGTTCCATCATGATGAGCAGGTAATTCTGATGGGTGTTGCAGGAATATATGCCGTCATACTTAGTGACTCCATGAGCTTCTATCTGTTAACTCCATATATCATATGCACAGCATAAGTAGGACTATTTATACAGTTATCTATGGCTTTTGTGTGCAAAGACCAATCATTTGAACTTTCCCCCTGGCCAAATGTTTCTGGCCCTCTCCTGGATGAATGGATTAGAAACATTACCTGAATGAATGAGATTTGGGACATTACATGTTTGGGGATGATTTGTGGTCATTAACCTGGTCAGCATGGAGCATGGTGCCTCTAATTGCTAGCTAAGTGAGTTTTGAGTTTTGCAATGGGCTCAATTTGCATATGTTTCTGGAACCTCCCTATACTCCTGAGTCCAGCATTGTATAAGTACAAAAATTCAACATGCACACCTATTCCTTCAATGGTTATCCAGTTATAAGATTTCAACATAGCTCATTGTAGAGGGCTCATGTGTTGAAGGGAATTGATATAAGAATGGCAAAATGACTGAATACCTCGAAGAAAATAGCAGTTGTGTTCTTATATGGCTATGTGGATAGCACGGCAAGTGGAGCTAAATGATACAGTTGAGGACAGACACACACATAAGGAAGATTTGAAGACTAAAATTAAAAGTGAATCACTAAATTAAGAGGAGCCTTAATATCATGGAGTTAACATACACAAGTATTGAC